TAGGGAAGGAATTTTCCCCCAGGGCGGATCGGAAGAGGCCCTGGAGGTTTTTTGCCTTCCTCTGTAGCATGGGGCACGGGTCACTTGCTGGAGGATTCTCTGCTCCTTGAAGTCTTTAAACCACGATTTGAGGACTTCAATAGCTCAGACATAGGTGAGAGGCTTTTCGCAGGAGCGGGTGGGTGAGATTCTGTGGCCTGCGTTGTGCAGGAGGTCGTACTAGATGATCTTAATGGACTCTTCTGACCTTAATATCTATGAATCTAAGTGACCACAAAAAAAGAACAGTACACAGCAGAATTCCACAAAAAGTGAGTTCAGGGAGCGGGGGCTTTAGCAATCTGGTTATTAGGTGGTTAGCCTACTATAAAATACAGGAATTATTAAGAAATGTATCGCGTACTTTATCAATATTCATAATTAAAGTTGTAGCTATGGAAAGCTGAAATGCCAAATGTGAATAATGGACAGGTTTTAATCTTGTTACAGACATGGAACTTGATCAGATATGGCTATATATCCGGAAGGTTACATAAAGTTGGGGTATAACATATTCAATTTAATTCCCTATTCTCGGGTTTGTCAGGTCCCTGAGATGGTTTAAACTTAATCAGGACCACCCTTCTGATGAATTCCCTTTACTTTTCCTTATCTCTCTGTTTTCAATGGTCTCTGTAAAGTTGTAAGTAAGTATAAACAATGCAGGAAACCACTTTACTGTACTTATCTTATAGACTAATTTTCCTATGATTTCAATTATATTTGTCTGTATTAATTAAAACCCACCAAATGTACCTTCTTAACTAACTCTAAGTAGCTCCCTGTTATCTGTAAAAAGTGCATATTGCATCTCAACAAATAATTGATTAGGCTACAAGAAGGGTTGGAAGAAAATGCAATATGTGCGCCAGTCATGGCACAGTTAAAGTATCATAAGAGTTCAAAGGAATTTTAGTTTTGTTGAATTTTAACAACAAGGAATTTTCCAAAGAAGGGGATGACTCAATATCAAGCCCACTTCCAAAGTCCTTCTCATAAACAACAGGAGACTCTCTTCTGTCCAGAAGAGAAAAGCTCTTATTGAGGAGGTGTGGTTATTTATTTCATACAACCATTAAAGATCCTCAGCTCCCCAGTTTGCTTATTCAGCTAAGAAGTAACAGCAAAATTATGCATCAGATCCAAGACTAAAAGAGAGGTGTATTCAGCTCTACAGGAAATGTCTAACTCACTAGGCCGCAGTGCCTTCCAGCCAAGTCACTCAACTTCCCTGAGCCTCACTTACCCAATCCGAAAAATGCAGCTAATAAAGATTTTTGCATTTACCTTGTGCTTTTTCATGTGCAGATCTCACAGTGTTTTACAAAGGCAGCCATGCATTCTGGCATAAATTTTCAATGATTTTTTGAATCTGAGACACCTTAAAGGGACTTGATTTTCAAAGGGCAGGTGCTCAATACATTTGGAAAATCAGGCCAATTTAATGTGTGTCTACTTGGGCACCCAAAATCACTAGGTACTTTTGAAAATTTGGACCTATTAGCCCAAATTCTATAATTTCCCTAGGTACAGAGACTTGAAACAATCTACATAAAAGGTGCCAGTCGTCTAGTGCAGGGGTCCCCAAACTGGTATGTGAGCTTGATACTCCACCAAGTCACGTCACAATTTTTTTAAATTATTTTCAACTTTAATAACTGTTAGTCTAGTGAATAAGACATACACCAGCTACCTCAGAGAGTAGAGCTCAGTTTCGATCTTTGCCACATACTTTCTTTGTACCTTTGTGAGATACAAAGTCTCTGTACCTCAAATACCCCATCTAGAAAACGGAGGCAAGGATACTGGTTCCCCTAATAATGGTGGTGCAGTCCCACTAAAACAGGATTGTGAAGTGCACATAATTATTAAGGCTCTGCAGTGAAAGAACAAGTTCTGGAATTCCGACGCCAAGGAGGCATTTTGGTGGGCTCTCCACAGTAACTTGGAATCTGATCCTGCAGTAAGTTCCATGTGGGCATACTTGTGCTCTCAAAGCAGAGCTCATCCCTGGGCTGGGCCTGGATTTACAATCTTTTGATAGATTAATGGAAATTAAGGAAACATCCAGTCTATCCAAGAGTAGTCTGATACCCACATCTTTTAAAATAGCTCATTTACTGATAACCTGTTTCTCAAGCCATCAACTCCAGCTAGAAAATCCTTCACTTTGGAGCGGTTTACGAACCAGGCTTTTCACTTGTCATTGAATCCAGCAACACTAATCTTGTCCATTAGTCTCCCAGACTCTCCAGACTAAAACTGACAAGGAACAGATGGAAACATGAGAACAGAATTAAATCAATTCATAAAAATGAGGGGAAGGCTTACTCTTAAAATAACCAGTATAAATAAATTACCAGGTTGTTTGTTTGCTTTCCTAACTGATTACTATAATCAAAATGCAGAAAGTTGGAGGGGGTTTAAAGCATTATGAGTGCACCCGAGTGCATATGGACTACAAAAACCTCATTATTAAAAGAAAAAAGGAACTGACAAGATGTGTATGTTAGAAACATATCATAACTGATTACTACTGTAATCATTCTTCTCAGTTCTCAACCTGTCAAGGTCCAAATTTGGGCCAGAAGTTATGACATATACTCAAAATAATAGGTGCCAACTTTTCCCGGCGCCGGTGCATGCTCAACCCCCACTGCCCCGACTCCACCCTTGCCCTGCCCCCTCCAGCTCTGCCCCCATTCCAACCCCTTCCCCAAAGTGCTTGCCACCACAAAACAGCTGTTTCACAGCCGGAAGCGCTGGGAGCTAGGGGGAGAAGAGGGGAAGGTGCACTCAGGGGAGGAGCCAGAGCGGAGGCAAGCTGCGGTGGGGAGCTGCCAGCGGGTGCAGAGCACCCACCAATTTTTCCCCGTGGGTGCTCCAGCCCCGGAGCACCCACGGAGTCGGCACCTATGCTCAAAATCAGACACACAAAATAATACATTAATGTATTAAAAGTTGTACCTCAGTGTGTACAACTCTTTCTATAATCTCATTTTCATGACTCTACTTTTGATGTAAATAATTTCACTATAAAAGTGAGGGGACATGTAATCTGTATGGATCGTAGATACTTTGAGGTTGAAATGAGGGACATTTGAGAGATATGGTTATAAATTGGCTTGGCAGTATTAAATTTTTGTTAGTAAACATCAATAAACATTGATTTCAACATAATATTTTTTTTTTCTAAAAGTACTGAACATCAAAAGCAGGAAGCCTGCTGAACAACCAGTGGGCCACTGGACAAGGACGATAAGGCCATTGCAGAGAAACTAAAGGAATTCTTTGCATTGGTCTTCACCACTGAGGATGTGAGGGAGATTCCCAAACCTGAGCCATTCTTTTTAGGTGACAGATCTGAGGAACTGTCCCAGATTGAGGTATCATTAGAGGTGGTTTTGGAACAAATTGTTAAACTAAACAGCAATAAGTCACCAGGACCAGATGGTATTCACCCAAGAGTTCTGAAGGAACTCAAACGTGAAATTGCAGAACTACAAACTGTAGTCTGTAAGCTATCATTTAAATCAGCTTCTGTACCAGATGACTGGAGGATAGCTAATGTGATGCCAATTTTTAAAAAGGGCTCCAGAGGTGATCCCGGCAATTACAGGCCTGTAAGCCTGACTTTAGTACCAGGCAAAATGGTTGAAACTATAATAAAGAACAATATTGTCAAACATATAGATGAACATAATTTGTTGAGGAAGAGTCAACATAGTCTTAGTAAAGGGAAATCATGCCTCACCAATCTACTAGAATTCTTTGAGGGGGTCAAAATACATGTGGACCAAGGGGATCCAGTGGATTTAGTGTACTTAGATTTTCAGAAAGCCTTTGACAAGGTCCCTCACCAAAGGCTCTTACACAAAGTAAACTGCCGTGGAATAAGAGGGAAGGTGTTCTCATGGATTGGTAACTGGTTAAAAGATAGGAAACAAAGGGTTGGTATAAATGGTCAGTTTTCAGAGTGGAGAGAGGTAAATAGTGGTGTCCCCCAGCGGTCTGTTCTTGGACCAGTCCTATCCAACATATCCATAAATTATCTGGAAAAAGGAGTAAACAGTGAGGTGGCAAAATTAGCGGATGAAACAAAATTACTACAGTTAAGAACCAGGCAGACTGCGAAGAGCTACAAAAGGATCTCTCAAAACTGGGTGACTGGGTGACAAACTGGAAAATGAAATTTAATGTTGATACATGCAAAGTAATGCACATTGGAAAGCATAATCCCAACTATACATATTAAATAATTATCGTCAGACACGCCCTACTGTTTGCCCCCTCCCTAATTTCCCATATCTATGAACATTTGAATTGGTAAAAAATCAGGGGGAACTGCTTAATTTTTATGGGAGATCGATGTTTATTTTTATCTTAAAAAACAATCCAATTCTGCCAAGCCTAGACATAAATCTCATCCTCCCCTTACCCCTGCTCTTCCCCTCACCCTGTGTCACTGCCGTCCCCTCCCTTCTGGCGTTATGACTGGCCAATAGCACAACTCAGCACGGCAGTGCCGTCCCTGCCCGCCCGGCGCTAGATACAAACTCCTAATGACCAAAAACCCGGGCTGCGGGCGCGCAGCGGCGGGGAGCCGGGCTCGGGGCTGCAGCCAGCCCTGCAGCCCGGGTGGCGCGCAGTGGGGTGCGAAGAAGCCGGGCGGGCAAGCGGGCGGGGCTCCTGTCCCGCACACGAGGCCCACGGCCGTGAGGGCTGCGCAGGGGGGGAGCCGGCCTTGGGGGCGGTCTATGGGTCTGTAACGCGTGGCGGGGGGCGCCCCCGGGTGGCCCCGCGCAGGGCAGGCTCCGCCGCACGCGGCTCCAGCAGGGGCAGGAGCGGGTGGGTGTGTTTGCGGGGAAGCCCTCCCAGAGCGGGGAGGGGCAGCGGGCGGGGACGCGTGCAGGCGGGAAGGGCGGCTGGGGGCTGCCGGAGGACCGGGCCCGGCTCGGTACCTGCGCAGGCAGCGCTCGCACACGCCGCCCAGGCGCTGCTTGGTGACGGTGCAGGCGAAGGGTTCGGCCCGATATAGCAGCTCGCCGGGCCGCGCCCGCTTCAGAGCGCGGAGGCCGCTGCCCCTGCCCGGGCTCGGGAACTTCTCCAGTCGCCCCGGCTCCATGTCCCGCGCCGCAACCCGCTTCGGCCCCCACGTGGTCCGGCCCCGGTAGCCGCCGGAGCCATCTTTAGTGAGGGCAGAGACCCGCTCCCCCGCCCCGCATGCCCTCACCTGCCTCCCGCCTGGGGCCTCGCAACCGGAAAAGCCCCGCCCTGCGGCAGGCTGCCGCTGGGGGCAGAGGGCGAGGGGAGCCCCAGCCCGCCGCAGGGACGGGGGACTTGTTGTGCTGCCTCTGGCTGAGGGGGAGGGCTGGACTCTTCCCTTCCCCAAGGATGATGGGAAGGGTCTGGTCTCCCTACCCCCCAGGCAGCTAGCAGGGGCCTGGTGTCCCTGCCTACCTCCCCCACGGTCCTGATGGGAGATGTAATGTAGTTGGGGATAGTCTCGATACAGATTTATATTAAAAATAATATTAATTATCAGGACATGGCCAACCACCATGTGATCACTTTGCTCCTATGTTGTACTCCTTCCCCTGAGCCTGACTATTGGCTTTTTAGAGTGTAAGATCAGGGCCAGGAGCCTACTATTTGTTTTGGCACACTGGAGGTTGCTAACAGAAATTAACGAAAATAATAATAAAATGGAACATTTACTTCTTGAGTGAATAAATGTAAGGGAGGAATGGAGCTTTGCAGTGCCATTATCAAGAACTACAATACAGAAAAAAGTGAATAGAAACAGCAGAAAATGTACACACTGAATAAATAATACAACTGCAGAGTACCGGATATAGTTTTTCCCATGAAAAACGTAAGTCATTGGAATAAAGCTTTGTTGTTTCATATTTCCCAGAATTCACAAGAAGAATGCACAGCTTTAAGGAACTAATCTCCACTTAAATTATGTAAAATTCTCAAGTGTGACAATATTCAGTTTTTGTTTTGTTTTGTAGCTCGTGGCATTGAATTTGCATTCAGTAATCAAACACCCCTATTTGGTATTTGATCACATAATTAATACCCAAAAAAAGTATGGCTGTACTAAATAAACCATGAAATTGGTCAGCATGATAGGACTTTCTTTAGCACTTTCTCTCAGGATAAGAATGAGATGGAAACAAAATTACCTGTCAGGTCACCTAGCCCTTCTCTCTTGGCAGATGCAGGATTATGCTCTACAGTATATATATTTATTTAATAGTCTTTGTCTTTAAATGACTGAAGCAATGTGACTTAGCCATAGTTACAAATACTATTTCAAATATATATTTAGATAATTCAAACAAGATATTGTGTAGGACTCAATGAGAAAGGACTAAAGCAGGGGTCTCAAACTCAACTTACCTTAGGGCCAGTGCCAGTCTTCAAATCCTCCCAAGCGGGCAAATAATGTCACTCATGCTGCCCAAAACTACACACACACATCCACACCCCCGCCTAAGGCTCTGGAAGGGAGTTTGGGTGGAGGAGGGGATCTGAGGTGCAGGCTCCAGGATGGAGTTTGGGGGCAGGAGTGGGTGTGTGGGAACGGGAAGGGGGTGCAGGCTCTGGGCTGGGGGTGGGAGGGTGCAGTACTTACCTGCAGCTCCAAGGTGGGGCGGGCCAGGGGGCCTTCGCGCCCTGCTACCCCGAGGCACCACCCCCACAGCGTCCCATTGGCCATAGGGGTGCTCGGGGTGGGTGCAACACACAGAGGCACAGCCCCGCCCTGCCCCTGGGCTGCAGGGAGGGGCCAGCAGCCACTGGAGTGAGCAGGCAGACGCTGCTCAGCTTGGCTGCGCTGCCAGGGCCCCTGTGGGGGAACACCCAGGGGTGGCAAGTGGGGCCAAGGGAGAGACCTGGCCCCAAAACTGCTAGAGCCCCATGGGCCACACTGGGGAGGCTTGCAGGCTGCAGATGATCCACAGGCTGTGAGTTTGAGACCCCTGGACTAAAGAATCATCCATTAGTCCACATCCAGCCATTGGTAGTTTTGAACAAAATAATTACCATCATAAAAACATAAAAGACTGGCCGTATTGGGTCAGACCAATAGTCCATCCAGCCAAGTATCCAATCTTCTGATAGTGGCCAGTGCCAGATGCATCAGAAGGAATGAACAGAACAGGGCAATTTGGAGTGATCTGTCCCAGTCATACCTTCTGGCAATCAGAGGTTTAGGGACACCCAGAGCATGGGATTGTGTCCCTAACCATCTTGGTTAATAGCCATTGATGCACATATTCTCCCTGATATTATCTAATTCTTTTTGAAAACAGTTATACTTTTGGCCTTCACGACATCCACAGGCAATGAGTTCCATAGGTTGACTGTGCATTGTGTGAAGTACTTCCTTTTGTTGGTTTTAAACTTGATGCCTATTAAGTTCATAGGGTGGCCCTAGTTCTTATGTTATTTGAAGGCATACATAAGAATTTCCTATTCCCTTTCTCCACACCATTCATGATTTTATAGACCTCTATCATATTCCCCCAATTTTAGAGAAGAGATGGCTACGGAACAATCCCAATCTTTTTAATTTTTCCTTGTATGGAAGCTGTTTCATACCCCTAACCATTTTTGGTTTTCCTATTCTGTACCATTTGCTAATTATATTATTTTTGATAGGGGGCAACCATAACTGGATGCAGTACTCAAGGTGAGGGAGTACCATGGGTTTATATAGTGTCATATTTTCAGTCTTACCTATCCCTTTCCTAAGATTGGGAACTTTTTTGACTGCTGCTACACACTGAGCAGATATTTTCAGAGAACTGTCCACAAAAACACTCCAAAAATCTCATTCTTGAATGGTAACAGCTAATGTATAGTTAGGATTTTTTTTTTCCTCAATGTGTTTTACTTTGCACTTAGCAACATTGAATTTCATCTGATATTTTGTTACCCAGTTTTAGGAGATCCCTTTGTAACTCTTCAGGGTCAGCTTTGGGCTTAACTATGTTGAGTAATTTTGTATTGTTTGCAAACTTTGCCACCTTACTATTCACCCCCTTTTCCAGGTCATTTATAAATATGTTGACAAGCACAGGTAGCGGGGGACTCTGCTATTTACATCTTTTTCCATTCTGAAAAATTACCATTTATTCCTATCCTTTGTTTCCTATTGTTTAACTAGTTACTGATCCTTGAGAGGATCTTCTACCTTATCTCATGAGTGCTTACTTTGCTTAAGGGCCTTTGGTGAGGGACCTTTCCCACAGCCTGTCAGCTCCTGCCTGATATACAGATTTGTAGCCTATTCTGATTGGTTCTGTCTTCCATCTTTATCATTAACATACCCATCCACCAATCATCTTTAAGCCTTCCCTGATTGGTCTGTTCTTATGGACCAATCACAGATTCTAAACTCATCTGTCAATCAAAGCAAAACCTGTTTGGAAAGCTGAGCCATACTCAACTGACCCCTCCCTTCAGTTTTTGGAGTGACCTTTATCTCACCTCAGCCTGCCTGTTTGGTATTGGCCAAATTGCTCCAAGACTACCATTTTAGTTTCTCTGGCTGTAATTCCCTGTATCCACCATCTTGTTATCCCTGGCTGAAATTGCTCAAGACTATCTTTATTAATTAGTAAACCCTTATAACTATAAACAATTACATACTTATGTGCATCTTAACATTATGGTTCACTGTCACCACTCCATTTTTACTCATTTAAAGAAGTTAAATTTCAATCTTTCGCTTGCTTCAGCTAGTGGTGACAGGGCAATGTTCTTAATGCTGTATTCCTAACACAGAATAGAGCAGCTGGAAAATCACTTGTATCTTGTTGACACTTTTAAAGAATTCTGATAGAGTGGTGAAGTATGATTTCCCTTTACAAAAGCCATGTTGACTCTTCCCCAACATACCCATGTTAATCTCTGTGTCTGATAATTGTTCTCTATAGGGTTGCCAAGCCTCCAGGATTGTCCTGGAGTCTCCAGGAATTAAAGATTAATTTTTAATTCATGATCATGTCATGTGATGAAACCTCCAGGAATATATCCAACTGAAATTGGCAACCCTAGTTCTCTACTATAGTTTCAATCAGTTTGCCTGGTACTGAGGTTAGGTATACCAACCTGTAATTGCCAGGATTCCCTCTGGAGCAATTTTTAAAAAGCAGAATTACATTAGCTATCCTCCAGACATCTTCTAGAGAGGATAATTTAAGCAATAGGCTACAAAACACAGTTAATAGTTCTGCAATTTTATATTTGAGTTCCTTCAGAACTCTTGGCTGAATACCATATGCACCTGGTGACTTACCACTGTTTAATTTATTAATTTTTTCCAGAACTTCTTCTAATGACACCTCAATCTGGGACAGTTCCTCAGGATTTATCACCTAAAAACAATGGTTCTGGTGCGGGAATCTCCCTTACAACCTCAGCCATGAAGACCGATGCAAAGAATTCATTTAGCTTTTCTGCAACAGCCTTGTCTTCCTTAGGTGCTTTCTTGAGCACCTCAATTATTCAGTGGCCCCACTGATTGTTTCACAGACTTCCTGCTTCTGTTGTACTTTAAAAAAAATTGCTCTTAATGTTTATGTCAGCTGTTCTGTGGCGTATGTGAAATGAGTTGACAGTCTCAGTCAAATTCCTAATAGACTAATATACATGACAAAACCTAATACACCTACAGGCAGTCTTAATTCATTAGCAAGGCAAAGGAATCGTAAACTTCCATCTCGCTCCTAGAGATATCCCTCCAGAAAAAGTCTGAAGCACAATACAGGGAAACTTGCATTGCTACTGGCTTTGGTGTACCCAGAGCAGACCTTAGCATTCTTGGCATTGCAAAAAGAATTTCTTCCCTTTTCCAGAATATAACATATCCTGTCTACTATGATCACATCATTGTTTACAGGGCAGAGGTCAGAGGGGAAGAAAAGTGGCATTACCATTTCAAGCTTTGTCCATGTGAGAAAGGAAGTTAGTGGTGTCCTGTGCTAGCAGCAACTTGGGAGACACCTTCCCCACAGCCACAAATTGGTCTTGGGTTTCCTCAGAAACAGAGAGACTCATGGCCGTAGGTCTCAATGGCCAATGCCAGACAACTCTAGGGGGTCCATGAATAACCTTTGATATTTAGGAATATGACAAACATTTTGCCCTCACAATTGGTTTAATTTCTCAAGAAAGGAGTAGCAACTCTTCCTACCCTG